TCATAGCACATTTTTTTTCTTTCTAGTTTAGAATGTAGTTTATTAATAATAGCATATTATGTGTTAATCCTTAAAGATTCTTGATTTTCAAATTTTATTTCTCCCTCTCTTTCTTCATCTACAGTTAATTTTCTTTTTCTTTTGCGTATTTTTTTATATGTTTTGTGTCCTGATTTATCAATTTCTCTCTCTCTCTCTTCTCTTCTCTTCTCTTCTCTTCTCTTCTCTCTTCATAGATATCAAACATACAGATATACTCAGATCTAATACATATTGAATTCATGATTTGTATAAAGTTACAACTGCTTCTATATCAATCTTAACTAACTGCAATTGTTTACTATTTTTGTTGAATCTTTCAAGTATATCACCGTTTAATGTGGCCATTATAATTATTTCAAGTCCATTAGCTTCTGATCTTCTGATTGACTTATGTGATTTATCATCTTTGATAAACAGTGCATTAATTATTTTATTCCAATTTTCGTTTAAACTAATACTTGCATCAGATCTTGCTGACCACCTGGAATTTGGTAGTTTTTCAAGTGATACGTTTTCTGTTTTAATTAAATTGTTCTGAAGTATTTCCCATCTATATGTAAAAGCACTGAAAAAGTTATAGATATTTTGAAATACTAAATTCAAAATAAAAAATTCTAAAGCATTTCTACAATAACGCACAGCGCATTCACCATCAAAATTTAAAGAGTGTGCCAAGCATAGTAAAAATGTAGCTAAAGGATTAGCTTCTTTAATGCCAGCTTGAAGTCCTTTATACCTACCAGAAATTTTAGATGCATGGTATTTGTAACCATGACTATTATTTATATCAAATCAATTCTAAAACTAAAAATATAACATCTGCTAATTCTTCAGTGTTATGACCAGAGTTAGGTAAAAACCCTAAAAATCTTTCTACAGACAGCCATTCTTTTGAACATACCAAAAAATGAACACTGTTAATCTACACGACTAATATCAGAAGTAGAATCAATACTGATGTAAAAATATTTAGCTTTCTTCATTTCTTTCACCATTTGTTGTATAAAATCTGCCATTATAACTATGAATTGCTCACATATATATAAAAAATAGGTTTGATCCTCTAAAAAAAGATAGGATCCTCTAAAAAAAGTGTTAAACTGAGTATTGTGACTTTTTTTTTATTACCAAATCAACATTTTTGCACTAATAATTTGTGCATAGTTATGCATAATTTGCAGGTGGACTATAATATATTATTTAATTATATTATAATAATACTTTATTTTGACAATTTGACCACGGTTTTTAACATTTTAAAAATGCGCTGAAAAAAATTATTTTTATTTACATCAAAAATAAATAACTTTGAAACTTTTATCTTTACTAATGTTTTTATATTAGCGAAATACTTTTAAATAAAGTACTGAGTACTTCAATAAGTTACTGTTAACATTTTAATTTAAAGTATAGATGAAAGTTATATAAATTTTTATTTATATTATTTAAATATATATAAGATTATATAATTAATAAATAAAACAATAAGATTTTTTTATAAATAATCTTATTTATTTTTTTAATTATTTAAATTTTATAAGCAACAACTTTTTAATAAACTTTATTTAAGAATCATTTAAGTTAATACATTCGAAAAGATTTTGTTGAGAAGAAAAAAAGACTAACTTTTGAATTAAAGACAGTTGTTTGAATAATTAACTTTGATCTTTACTAATGTTTTTATATTATTAAAGTAACAATTCTTTGCGAATGATTTTTCACATAAAGTAATAATATATTTTTCTTTAGTCTTTAAATAAAAAAAATTATTGAAAAAAGTTAAAATACTCGAAATATAACAAATTTTTTTTGCAACAAAAAAAGAAATATATAAATATAAAATTTTTTATAATTATTTTTTTTCTTTAGTCAAAAATAAAAAAACTATCAACTAAAGTTAACAAATTAAATTATTATCAAATTAAATTAAATTATCAATTAAAGGAATACTTTTGTTCATTATTTTTTGTTTTCAACTTCATTTTTCTTCATTTGCTTTCTAACATTTCTGACAAAAGAAATTATTTAATTTTTTTTTTCTTTTGTTTACATTATTACAAGAATTTTTAAGTTTTTTTTTGTTGTTGTTATCTTTTAAATGTGCTTATTTATTGAAAAATTGTTGGAAGTTGTTACTATATTTAAAAGGGTTTCGCTTAGCCTATATAATAAAGAAAAAACATGTTTTTTTTGTTTGTATGTCATTTTTGTGAAACGCATTCCCCAGCCCCCTACTCCGCCTCCAAAAAAAAAGCGTAATTAAAAAAAGTTTCATCATTAAGCTTAATTGTTTTTTTAAATGCGCAATGATGATTTTTATAAAAACAAAAGTGTTTATTTACATTTTTTTCGTCAATTTGTGCTATTTTTTATTTTATTTTTTACTAATAATATTAACTATTTTTTATTTTTTAATTATTAATATAATTTTATATGGTGCGGTAACAAAGCAGACAGGACACTACTAGTTTTACATTATAAAAACATTAGTAAAATTTCAAAGTTATTTATTTCAAACTTAATTGTAAAGGTAATTTGAATAAGATTTATTGTTTATTATTTATTTTATAAAATTGCACACCTTCCTGACCAAGCTTGCAAACCTATATATATCCAAGTTTTTTTGCGGCAAAATTTCCAATTATTTGCTTTTCTGCCTTACCATTTTTATAAAAAATACAAATGTGCACTTGTAGGCAGAAAAGCAAATAATTGTAAATTTGCCCGGTGTGGTAAAAAATAGCTCATAGCTTGTCTATGGTTTTTAAACTGACAAAATTAAGGTTAGATTATAACAAAATGCATTAATTTAATTGAGGAAACTAATTAAATTTAATGTTTTTTGAAAAAACCACAAAAATGCAAATTAAAAGACTAGAATGTTTATATTTTTATTTATTTACTGTAAAACATGCGCAGAGTGTTGCTACATGGACATCTTATAATTGCTGTTACAAAAAAACTGACTCAAAACGGAGTGCCGCTACATTGACTAATGGTTTGGTTAGGGCAGGCAGTCTATCAAATAATAAAGAAAAAGATTTTTTACTCAAAATAATTTTTTTTAAAAAAACACTTCAAAACTGACCTAGCATTGGTAAAATTAAAAACGACCATGCAAGTGTGTGTGTGTGTGTGTGTGTGTGTGTGTGTGTGTGTGTGTGTGCGTACGTGTGTGTGTGTGTGTGTATATATATATATATATATATATATATATATATATATATATATATATATATATATATATATATATATATATATATATATAAACAAGTAAAAAAATGAATTTTTTTTTTTAATTTGTTAACTATATAATAGGGAGAGGCACTTTGTTTTTATAACTTTTATACACTTAACAGAAATTATCAATCATAATGTATAAAAGATTAACCAATAAAAATTATTTGTACCTTGATCTACTCCTTCGACCTAAAGAAAGTAAATGAGTAAAATATAAAAATGCATGTGTTTATGTTATATATATGTATATGTATATGTATATATATGTATATGTATATATATATATATATATATATATATATATATATATATATATATATATATATATATATGTATATATATATATATATATATATATATATATATATATATATATATACATATATATATATATATATATATATATATATATATATATATATGTATATGTATATGTATATGTATATGTATATGTATATGTATATATATATATATATATATATATATATATATATATATATATATATATATATATATATATATATATATATATATATATATATATATATATATGTATATGTGTATATATATATATATATATATATATATATATATATATATATACACACACACACACACACACATTAATCTTTAGAATATTACTAATAAACCAAAAATTCTTCAACTGTAATTTTTTGTTAAATTATCTGAACCCCCTTCCCCCCCCCCCCCCCAAACTAAAAAAAAAAATTTATATCATGTGCTTCAAATTGCTTAAAACTTAAAACAATAGCTCTCAATATATAACTAAATATAACAAAAACCATCAAAGAAGTTATAAATCAAGCAATTTTTTAAAAACCTTGTGTGTAAAAATATAACATAAATAAAAAATCTATATACATATAAAATAAAAGAGCTTAATATTTTTGATTAACATCATAAAAATACATTTAGACATGGTTTGCAACAGTTGTAGAAATATGTTGTTTGATTTTGTTATACAACAATTGTAATAGAAACTAATTTTTCTTTCTTTCACACATGTTTTAATACATTAATTTTTTTGTACAACATTTCTACAACTATTGGAAACTAATCTTTACCTTAATAAATATTAAGACAAAATTTAACTCAATAAATATTAAGAAAAAATTAAAAAATAAAATAAAAAATTATTCAACAAATTTATGCATACTAAAGCACCTGCAATAGATATTTTTGATATTTATGATTGTAGAGCTATAAGGATTTATTAAAATTAAAACTCGTACCTCTGGTGATCTCCCTTAATTATTTAAATTGAAGCAAACTTTAATAAAAGTGACAATAACTATAACCAAAGTTTAAAAATACAAACAAACAGGGCATAATCTAGAAAAATATTTCCTATTTTCAGAAAGGTATATTTAAAAATGAGCAACTTTGTCCATTTTTTTAATTGCATATTTGTTGTATATCACATTTTGCGACTCAAAATATAAAAAAAAATCTAAATTCAAACTAGTTTATGCCCTGCAACTTACAGTTAATGGTTGGGTTAAGCACAGACTCACGAGATTTACGAGTAGATGATCGACCAATTGCAATTTGCTCACTCTCTGGTTTAATAATTGGATGTTTAGAATAATCCACTCTAAAAATCAAATGAAATCTGTTTTTATAAAATAAAAATACTTCTAAAATGCACTAAAAACTATATTTTACTTTAAACATCTTCCACCAAACAAGACACCATTATACTGTAATGCAGTTGGTACAGAATCTATTGCTGTAAACTCAACAAATGCATATCTAATAAAAATACAAAATTATAACAATATATTGTATAGAACAAACAAATATATACATATTTAACAGAGACTTTAAACCCCTCAATCTTAACCTTTAAACTTGCTACTTACTTTCCAGAATCACCTTTGCACAGTCTTAAATATTTCACCTCACCAACTCCAGAAAAAAATGCCATTAACTGATCTGCAGTTATCTACAATGCAATTAAGACATAATTTGACGATAAAAAAAAATTTATCAAAATTTAACCATTATCAAAAATAAAATAGCTATAAAAATAAATTTTATAAATATAATTAAAATAAATTGAAGTTTTCTAAAAATAAATCAGAAAACATATTATTATTATTTAAAAGCTTTTATACATAATACAATCGTAAGTCATCAATGAATTTATATCAGGGTGTTATATTCATTAATGACTATCATGCTGGCTAAAACCCTAGCAAAAACAATGTATACGCAGTTCCTTTAACTTCAGTTCTTGGAAAAAGAAAAAAAAGGAAAGTCAAAGCAGCAGAAATACCAATCAAAAATGTAGAAAAGACATACAACTTAAAAAAACAGAAAATTATGAGGTATTTTTTCTTGATTATTTTTATTCGTCATCAAAACAAGGTTGGTTTTGTAAAGTTTGCATATTGTTTGCATCTGGAAAAAAAAGTAATTGTACATTTATTGAAAACCCTAGCAAATTTGTAGATCACCCCTAGGAGCATGCTAACGATCACTTAAATACGCATAGCTTTAAAAAATAAACAAGTTTTTGATGAAATGTCTAAGCTAAAATAATAATAAATATCTGGAAAATGCTGAGTGAAAATACCCTTCGCTAAAGAAACATTAAAAACAAGTTACTCTTGCTTTGCTAATAAAGCTTTCTTTCGATTTATGCATTTGTTAATCATGAAAAACTAGGCACATACTTATAATTTTTCAATATTGAACTTGCTGTGTGTGGTTGTAAGGAAGTTAAGGCGCATAAAGTAATATCAGGCGCAAAACTTCTGATATTATTTTGATTGAACAGTTCATTATACATACACTTTCGAACACGGTTCCTTTAAGTAAGCTCACCGGTTCTAGTCAATCAACTCCAAATGTTTTTGATGTTATTCAAAACTTTATTAGAGCTAATAATATCTCTTTTAAAAATGCTCGCTTTGCTTGTATGGACACAAGTGTCAATTCTGGTATAAAAAAAGGTTTAAAATCCTACATCAAGGATGCTGTGCCACTGTGTGTTTGGCTTGGGTGTCATAAACTTGCGTTATGTTTCAAACATATTTTAAAGGACTTTCCTAATATTATGGAGGTAGATATTTTTTTACTTAACCTATGGAGGTTTTTTAAGTACCGCACATTAAGTACCCACACGCATTTTTCAAGTACCGCACACTAAGTACCCACACACATTTGCGTAAAATGTTAAAATTGTTAAAAAAGTTCTGTTGTAAAAATTTCAATTTTACATTTATAATAAAAAAGTAAATGAATAGAAAGAATTCTATATTTACAGACATACATGCTTTAAATAATCATTTAAACTTTTTAAATTATTTTTTTATCATATTAAATATTACATAAAATAATATTTCTTTTAATTATTATAATTAAAAAGTGAATTATGCAATTAAAGGAGATCAAAGTATCACATCATTAATTATTTATTTGCAAATAAAAGATCATTGTTGTTTTTTTGTTAGCAAAGAAAAGACACAATTGCTAAGAAAGAAACTAGTTGATAATCTGTTTTAAAATTTTGCATTTATAAAATATAAATTTGTTGTATTTTTTTTGTTTTATTTTATTTATTTATATTTTATTGGTAGTGAGTATTGGTGCGACAAGATTTGCCTGGAGAATTTTGTAGTTTTGTTTTTACAACTTAACTATGCAATTTGTTTTGGCAACTCTAGGTATTTCAAAATGTGCTGAAAATAAAAAGAAAATTTGTAAGATAGATTATCTAACAAAAGAAAATCTTAAAGAAAAATCTATAATAAAAATACAAAATTATTAAACACATAAATTACTATGTAAATATATTAAATACATAAATTATTAAGTTTACTTAATACTTTATTAAATAAAGTAACAAATTAATTATATTTCAAAAAAATGATGTATTTTATTAACATAGCTGTGTGTTCAACTTCAATTTTGTTTTGTATAAAAAATAAAAAGTTCAAAAAATAAAGTTTATATACAATACTGAATTTATTAATAACTTTGAAACTAAAATGATTAGAAAACAAATGCACGTAAAATATATATATAAGACAAAATGAACGCCTTATTTTTTACCGGACAATGTTTATTTCGAGTCCTGTGTGTGTGTGTCTATATATATATATATATATATATATATATATATATATATATATATATATATATATATATATATATATATATATATATATATATATATATATATGTATATATATATGTATATATATATATATATATATGTATATATATATATATATATATATATATATATATATATATATATATATATATATATATATATATATATATATATATATATATATATATATATATATATATAGACACACACACACACAGTATATATATATATATTTAAACAATTTTTAAATGTATTCTACAAAATAGAGTGCTCAATGTTCTTAAAAGAACAGAGCAATTATAAAGTAGTAAAAAATCACTTGGCGAAAAAAAAAAAAAAAAAGCAGAAGTAATCAGTTCTAAAGAATTCTTTTTATAATAGTGTCAGCATATTCCACAAATGTGTGAAAAAAAACAGTAGTTATGACATTTGTGACTTTCTGTAATTTAATTTGTTGGTATAAATTGAAGTTTTATTAATTTGATCATTCATTTCTGATGAGTCTTTATTGATGAAACACAGTGTTAAATGAAAAAATTTTCTTGCTAAGTGATTTTCTTCTACTCGGCCTCGGCGGGAAGAAATGAGTGCAAGAGCAGTGAAAAGCTCTCCTAATACAAACATGGCTAGCTATGCGAGCTGCTTCTTTAAATTCTTTAATTGTTTTTATTGCTTATAAAAAGTTTTATATTTTCTTATTGTAATAGAATGCATGGAATTTAAGAATTGTTAAAGATAATTATTAAAATAACTGCATTTTTTATTTTAGTTACAATAATAATAAAACTTATGAGAGAAAAAAATATACTTTTGCAAGAGCTGTAAATTGCTCCCGTAAACCGTTTTAGGGGAATGTGGGCGAGAGTGAGAGCTAAAGCTCTCGCTTCCTGCCAAGGCCTGTATATATATTCATATATATATATATATATATATATATATATATATATATATATATATATATATATATATATATATATATATATATATATATATAACCGTCTACTATCGATTAGTAACTCTTTATTTTTTAATTAATTTTTTTTACAATATTTCAAGGGAGTATTGATAGCCATGTTATCAAGTATAAAATAAATATTAAAAAACGTTAAAAACAAAAACAAATCATTGCAATAGCTTCTTTTGATTCAAATATCAAAACATAGGTTTCCAAAAGTTAAAAAAAAAAATTTAAGTCAAAGAGGTAACACTTTATTTTAATTTTTATACGAACACAACATTTATGAACCAAAAGATTCTGGACTTAGTCGTTTAGAACTTATGGTAATTGTGAAGTGTTTTCTAAAGTTTTATGAAAGTAAAACTATTGCACAAGCGTTTTCCAATAATGTTCATGTAAAGTCATTTAAGAGATAATTCGATGACTCCCATTCTTGTTTTAACTCTAGTAAAGATGCAAAAAACTTATTAGTATTACTTAATAACTAACAAAAATATTCAGTACACCATGGATAGAAAATGAAAATAACACACTAAACTTTCTTGACATATTATTAACAATAAAACTAGTGTGTACGATTTTAAATTTTACTGTAAAGATGCCATAACTAACATCCAAAACAAACCTAACTCATGCCATGATCCAAAAATTATAAACAGAGTTTTTGAAGGATTTGGTCATAGGGCTTATATCTATGTTCTGATAATAATATCGAACAAGAGTAATTATTTATAATTGATGTTTTCGTAAAAAATGGTTATAAAAAAACAAGCCTGGAAAATATTATAAAAACCACTACAGAAAATTTACAAAATAAAAAATAAAATATTAAAACTCAACATTTATCCATTTCATTAAAAAATCTTGCATCTTTACCATGGATTCCAGGAAAAAGCCTGAAGCTTAGAAAAGTTTTCAAAAAAGCAAGCTACAAAAATATTTATCTTTAAATCACCAAAAACTTACATCATACACTTACCACAAAATATACCTCTTCTTCTTTTAAATTCTTACCAAGCTGTGTACTAACTTGAATGCTGCAAAAAATGTTATATGGGTGAAACAAAAGTAAAAATCTCATCTAGCATTTACCAACATCAGAAAAATACATACAACGGAAAATGGGATTATTCAGCAATAGCGAAACATTTAAAAAATTGACATGGTAATTTTTTATGGAACAATAAAAATACTTTAAAAGTATTGGTTAATAATTTTAACAGAAAAGTGAGGGAGGCACTTTAAATACAACGCCATGAATGTGCACCTTCAGACAGTGATCTGAATCAGAATGATGGAGCTACATCACGACTTCTTTTTGGAAACCTATGTTTCGATATTTGAATTAAAAGAAACTAGTGATTTGGTTTTTTTTTTGTTTTAAAAGTTTTTTTAATATTTATATTATACTTGATAACGAGGGTATCAATACTCCCTTGAAAATTTGTAAAGAAAATTATTTAAAAAATGAAGAGTTACATCCATAGTAGAAGTTTTTATTTAATTATATTAAACTCTTTAAAGACATCTTTTAAAATTTAAAAAAATATATATAATTTTATTTATCATAAAAGTAAATTAGACATTGTTTATTTCAAACGAACATGAAAAACTTGCTTTCTCTACAGTAGATAGAATGGATTTAGAAACTAGATGGACTGGATTTATAATGCAGTATATAGACTGGATTATGTAGTACAATTAGAATTAGTTTGCGCTCACTTGGTTGATATTTATAACAGTGTCTTGATGAAATGTTATTATTTTAAACTTTATTTATTTTTATCGACAGTGGTTTCTCATTCAAGCTATTAAACTTTGTATCAAAACACTTTGGAATTTAGCACTACCTTTTTTTTAAATTTTTAAAGAAATTTCTTTATACTATGTCTGATTTGCATATCATTTTGACCACCAGACAATATTTTTACTCTAAATTATAATTTAAATAACTAAAAACTAGTGGTGATGATTTTAAAAAAATGCAAAAATATGCATCAAAGGACTAGACCAAACTGTCAAGCCCAAGTGAAATAAGGAAAAATTTAGGAAAAGAAAAAAGATAAAATAATTAAAAATATATATTGAACAGATGTTCAGAACAAAAACAAAGATACTATGGTAAAGTGTGTAATAAAAAATAATAATAATAATTTAGGCATCGCGCATGTAAAAGAAATGTAACCAAAACAAAACAGGACAAATAAGTAACCATAAATCTATATTAAATACAAATGTTTAACATACTTAAAATAAAAATACATATGTATAGATATATCAGTATTTAAAATGAATAAATATAAAGGAGGCATAAGATCAAGAAAAAACATTATTGCTTTTGTGTAACAAAAATATATGTAGTGGCAGTAACAAACTTCTCCTCAGAATTATTACCAGCGTTTCGAAGAGGATCAGCACCAATACCTAGTTTACCCCGTCAGATAAGCATTATCGCTATTTATGCTTTACCCCGCAATTTACACCTACTCCATACTGCAGTAAAAAAGGACTTCACTACAAAATTTGTATATTATTTTGACCACCAGACAATATTTTTACTCTAAATTATAATTTAAATTAACTAAAAACGTTATGATGATTTTTAAACTGAAAACTAACTAGACATTTTAATATTTATTTTGATATTTTAATATCATTTTGATATTTTTAAAAACTCAAAACATAACTCTTACATGAATATTCTTATATTTGCTATATAATTGGTGACAAAAGTAGATTGAATAAAATAAGCGTAATTAGTCAGCAGCTTAAAATATAAAACAAAAAAGTTAACCAGTTAGATAAACATCATACAAAGAAATACAAAAATTGCATGATATTAAATAACGATTAAATATTATATGATTAACTATTATATTTATTTTATATTAAATGAGTCATTTTTTGCGTTGTGCATTTGAATATAAGTAAATTAAATTTATGAATAATAAAATCTAATAAAAATCAAGTAACTCATTCATAAATCATTATTTTTATTCAGACTATTTAAATCATGATTTAAAACACAAATTTACAATAAAATATTTAATTAAATCAGTTAAAAATCAGTGGAAAAAAAAAAAAAAACTCCTCAAGATTAAATAGACAGAAGCTGAATATGAAAAATATCAACAAAAACACAACATTTAGAATACAAAAACACAACAAAAGCACTTATGAAATATTAAAAAAAAAATGAATTGTTATCAAACTGAATTATGAATTATATAAAAAATGAACTGTTAGGTAATCAAGTTCTCATTTTAAGTGGAAGAATATTATAGTGTTTCCCAAATGAAATAGATGACATACTACAATAATTTGTAAAAATTTTCATGAACAAAATTAACTTTAATTATCAATAACTGCTCATTTTTAGTTCTCTAATGTGTTGATTTCATAGAAATATCAAAAAGCATTACTAGATTTTTCTGTGCTTTCAACTTAACAAAATTCATTGGCCTTGCATTACTTTCACGTTACTTATATCTGTGTTCAGAAATTTTTAAACATCTAAAGCCATTAAAAAAAAGTACTGTTTTATGGACCCGTTGAGTGCTCTATTTATTGAGTATAAATTCTACTTGTTTAACAATAAATCATGACCAACCAGTTTTGAACAAGTAAAAAGCTTTTAACAGGCATAAAGATATACAAAGTATCTATTGTCATTCCTTAATGAAATTAAAAATTTACATATAAAGTATACAAGCATAAAAGCACAACAACAAATTACATCATGGCACAAAAACCAGATTAGAATTCACTATAAAACATGTCACTACCAGGAAGTTAAAGAATCAACAGTGAAACGCTGAGCTGGATTTGAAAAAAAATCCAGTTCAATGTTTGTTCCCTTCATTTCAAAAAAAAAATTGAAATTATAGGAACAAACCTGGAAGAAAGTATGTACACAAGTTTTTTATAAAAGTTTTTGCATTTAGTGGAGTTCTTGCATATTCTAGTCATTTTTCATTATAGGGCTAAGTGTAGACTAGAAATAATTTGCGTATATAAAAGTAAAATATTGTAAACTATTGATAACATTCACTTTTTGTGAATGTTATCAAGAGTTTACAATATTAACACTATTTGTTAAAATTATATTGTTGTATATATCATTTATTAAAAAATAATTGCTGCGCTCTACTTGCATTATAAAAAGTTCAACTAACATTTTTTGCTCTAAATTTTTGATACAGCCTCGGAACATGATTATTTAAAATTTAATTTTGAGTAAAAAAAAAAAAAATGTTTAGGAAGGTAAACCAAAAAAACAATTGCGATAAAAATGAACTAATTTTTTTTTAAGAATAAATAAAATTTAAATATTTAACAATATTTAGTAATATTTTAAAATAAATTTGACAGTTAAGTTAAAAAAAGATGGATGTGCAAGCATAAAAGCACAACAACAAATTACATCATGGCACAAAAACCAGATTAGAATTCACTATAAAACATGTCACTACCAGGAAGTTAAAGAATCAACAGTGAAACGCTGAGCTGGATTTGAAAAAAAATCCAGTTCAATGTTTGTTCCCTTCATTTCAAAAAAAAAATTGAAATTATAGGAACAAACCTGGAAGAAAGTATGTACACAAGTTTTATCATTTTTAGCCCAATAAGTGATATTTATTAAACATAGACATAAAAAAAGACTTAGGTCAAGAACTAATTGATAAAATTAAAAAAAAATAAAAAAGATTTGTCCATAAAATCAAGCATAAATCATTTGTATAAAACTGCTCCTAAAGTACTAATACTAAATTCTCCCAATACTAAATACTCCCAAGGCACTAATACTAAATTCTTTAATTCAAGCTTTAAAACAGAAATAAATACTAGAGCAACTAGTAACTAGAGCAACATAAATTTTAATCTTTAAACTTTGTTTTATTTGTTGTCATGACACCTTCACCCATAGTAACACAGCAATCTTTAAATAAATGCTTTAAAATTTACTAGTATTTTTTCTTTTTCAAAAAAGATTATAACAATTATAACTTCAACATTTCTCATACATGTTAGTTGCTAATTTAATTACTAACACAACTAATTTCAAACTTAAAATTTCCTGCTAAATTACAATTAGAATTAATTTAAGAAGTTTTAAACTTACATCAGGTGGAATGTTTTGAACAAAAACAGTTCTCCGAATTTCATCAATTTCAACAGGATCTGTTGTAGTTGTAACAACTGGAATAGGAGGGAGTGGAGGTATTTCCTACGCAATAGAATAAAAATAATTTCAGACAACTATCTAAATAATATTAATAATGTATTAACAAAACTATTATATATATAGGCCTCTGCAGGAGTAAATGAGTGCATGAGCGGCTTTTTCAATTTTTAGTTAAAAAAGTTCATGGATAAAATAAAATTGATAATATTTTAGTAAAATTTTTCAATACAATGTTTTGCATCATATCATAAAACATCAGAAAAACAATCTTCAGCAATGGCTGTTTTTTGATATTTATTTATTCAAGATAAAATATTTAAAAAAATGTTGCCTTTAACGAAATTTTTAAAATTATTTTAGTATATATTTAGATCGCTTTGTTATCAAAACAATTTGTTTTATAAATATTATCTTGTGTCATGTTTCTTTGTGACACAAGGTAATTTTGGTTCTTCTTATTTTCACATTTGAAAAGCTCCTTTGTTAGATTTCTTCTTTGTGAAACATTTTTTTCTAATTTGAAAAGTTTAAAAATCCCACTGAAATATCTCTGAGCTCTAGCTTTAAAAAATCTTTAATTACTAAAATTTCTATTTTAAACATAGAAAATTTAGCAATTGTTGACAAAAATGTAACAATGAATTAACATTTTTTTGCTATTTGTTGTTATTGTATAATTACATAATACTTATAGAAGGGATATTTTATTTTAAATGTTTTTTATTGGCAGTTCTAGACGTTTTTTTTTAATTCAAGAATTATATATTTAGAATAAGAATTATATATATATATATATATATATATTATATATATATATATATATATATATATATATATATATATATATATATATATAATAATTATTATATATTTAGAATAAGAATTATACTATAATTTTTTATAAAAGTTTTTGCATTTAGTGGAGTTCTTGCATATTCTAGTCATTTTTCATTATAGGGCTAAGTGTAGACTAGAAATAATTTGCGTATATAAAAGTAAAATATTGTAAACTATTGATAACATTCACTTTTTGTGAATGTTATCAAGAGTTTACAATATTAACACTATTTGTTAAAATTATATTGTTGTATATATCATTTATTAAAAAATAATTGCTGCGCTCTACTTGCATTATAAAAAGTTCAACTAACATTTTTTGCTCTAAATTTTTGATACAGCCTCGGAACATGATTATTTAAAATTTAATTTTGAGTAAAAAAAAAAAAATGTTTAGGAAGGTAAACCAAAAAAACAATTGCGATAAAAATGAACTAATTTTTTTTTAAGAATAAATAAAATTTAAATATTTAACAATATTTAGTAATATTTTAAAATAAATTTGACAGTTAAGTTAAAAAAAGATGGACGTGCAACTTATTGTTGTATTTGCAAATTATGCTCAATAATTAGGCGTCTGTATTGTTACAAGTC